CTACTCCGCATGAGTCAAAAGGTTGGCAGCTGCAGACTACATCGGTTGACTGTTTGTTTGAACACTACAGGACATCAGAACACACATACTCGAACCTACACAAGCAAGCAAAGCAGTAGACCTCTCCAGAGATCTACACTACATCCTCATCAACATCTGTCAGGGAGCAGCAGCTACAGTAGTAAGGCAAAACCGCTACAACGCAAACGGATGCGAAACACTACGACTACTACACAACAGGTTCAGCCTACCAGTAGGAACAAGGAGCGTTGGTTACCTTACCAAACTACTGGAACCCACATTCAACGAAGCGCAGTTTGAAGAACAATTTCTACAATGGGAATACGACATCAACCGCTACGAGAAAGACAATGGAACAGCACTACCAGATGGAATCAAAATAGCAATACTACTCAACAAAACCAAAGGAGCACTGCAGCAACACCTCCAACTGCGAGCTGGACAGATCACGAACTACATCGAGATCAGAGCACTCATCCTGGACTACTACAAAACGATTTCAGCCTTCACTAGATCTACTTCAGCAGTAGGAACAAACTACAATGGAGGAACTGCACCAATGGATGTTGACAACATATGGAGGAAAGGAAGAAGCTACAAAGGCAAAGGAAAAGGAAAAGGCGGCTACAAAGGAAGCAAGAGCAAAGGCAAGTACAGGAGTAAAGGACACTACAAAGGATTCGACAAAGGCAGCAAAGGAAACTACAACAAAGGAGGATACAACAAGAGCAAAGGAAAAGGCTACTCAGGATCCAAAGGATATGGATCAAGCAAAGGCTACAAAGGCCAAGGAAACTACAGCAAATCAAAAGGAAAAGGAAACAACAACTACACAACATGCCATCGATGTGGCAAGCCCGGCCACTGGGCACAAGACTGCAGAGTGCCAGTATGGCACATAGGAGAAGGAGAAGAACTACATCCACTAGAACAAGAACAAGCAGATCACGACAACAATGAATGAACTACCTCAGGATGTGAACGACACTTGGGACTGGTACTACGAAGGAGAAGAAGGACAACACGAGGTGAACTACATGGAGGAGAACTGGAACGACTACGACTATGACAACAGCTGGGATTGGAATGACAACAGCTATGAGGACACAGCGAACTACATTGGAGGCATCAACGAGTCACACCTCACCATTGGACACATCAGACAAGCAAAGTCACGACTACACAAGCACAAATCCAAATCACTACTTGGCAAGAGAACAACACACACAACATCATGGAACGACCACAGCAAGAGCTTTCAACAATTCCTACAAGAAGACACCACAAAGCTACACTTCGACATAGCAGCAGCAAGACAACAACAAAGGAACAAGAAGATTGAGGACACTATCACCCACTACATCATGTACTCCAACTTCAAGTCATACCACCACCTGTTGATCGACTCAGGAGCATCTACACATGTTTGCCCAAAGGACTACGCACCGGATCTTCCACTACGACCCTGTGGAGAATCAGTTCCACAACTCTACACGGTGACCAACAAGAAGATTCCAGTCTACGGCATCAAGTACGTTCCCTACAAGCAGGACAACTTCAGGATCATGATACCCTACTACGTTTGTGATGTGAAGTATCCAATCCTCAGCGCATCAAGACTACTTGATAGAGGATATGGACTTGACTTCACTCCACGACACTGCACCATCACACATGGACAACAACAAGCACACCTCATAAGACACTCAGGACTTTTCTACCTACGAGCAGAGAAGATCGACATCCCTACAGGATTCGACATCTACCCAATGACTACAGACAATGGAAAATCCATTGCTGTGATTCAACCTACAGAGAGAGCAGCACAACAACAAGAACAAATCGCACCACTCACACACACAGACCAAGGACTACGACAGATCCTTGGTGGAAACACTGACTACTGGAAACTTGATGGTGACTACGCCATCAGAGTACACAAACGACCACGCAAAGCACTGTTCACACCACACAACAGTGGCTGCCCAATACCAGAAGGAGAACTAGATGATTGGAGACTAACCATCATCAACAGACAAGGGCAAGAGCAAGAACAACTACAAGAGAACCCAACACAACTTTCCAAGCAAGAACTACAACGAAGACTAGAAGGTGACAACTGGACTGGAGAAACCAGATTCAGAAGAAAGATAACACCTGCACGCAGAGCAACATCAAAGACCACACCAACAAGGCAGAGCTCACAACCACAACGGCTAATGGACACACCACCAACCAGATCAAAGATCCAACTACGAGCACCACAAAAGATATGGAGACCCAAAGCAGCACCTTCAACAAACCTTGACACCACACAACCAAAGGAGACAATACACAGACCACTCACAGCACAGGAGGACAACCAAGACTACTGGGAAAGACAAGGTGAACACTGGATACGACACCACACAACGCTTAGAACAACTCTCTTCACTCCAACAGATGGACCAGGACATCCACCAATCAACACACTTGAACCTTACAGAACTACAATCACTCACAACAACTTTGGAGAAGTTTCACAACGCAAAGATGACTGGACAGTCATGGGCAACGCAGCACTACCATTTCAATGGAAAGGAACAACAAGGTTCACCGTGAAGAAAGACTACGAGTACATCCAGGAGAACCACGATGAAGAACAACAACACGAGCATCATGAAGCACACAGAGCAAGAGGACTACGACAACCACAGAAGCCCACTCCACAACAAATAGCAGAACACAACCTTACACATCTACCATACAGAAACTGGTGTCCAATTTGCGTTCAAGGCAAAGGACGCCAAGACAACTACAAGAAACAACAATCACGACAACCTGTCATTCAAGTAGACTTTGCCTACATCAAGTCACAACAAGACCCAAAGACCACACCGGTACTGACAGCAGTTGATGTTACTACACAACTGTGTATGGCAGTATTGGTTCCAGACAAAGCATCAATGATGGACTACATGGTGAACAATCTACAAGCATTCATCTTTGAGTGCGGAAGAACACAAGGCATACTACAAAGCGACAATGAAGACACACTCAACGCACTTCTAAAGGCTACAGCAGCAAAAGTCGGCACAATGAGTGTACGACATTCACCTTCCTACAGCAGCAACAGTCAAGGAAGCGTTGAGCGACTACACAGAACACTTCTCGGACAAATCCGCGTCGTCAAAGCTCAAGTTGAAAGCAACTACAGCATGACGATGTCCACAAAGCACTGTCTACTACCTTGGATAGTACGACATGCAGCATGGACGGTAAATCGCTACGTCATCCACTCAGACGGCTACACAAGCTTTGAACGCAGCTGGGGAAGAAACTACGAGCGAGCAATCTGCGAATTTGGCGAGACACTACTCTACCTTCCACCACAACACAAGAAACTGCCGAAAGCAGACCTACGGATGCAGAAATGCATCTGGCTCGGAAAAGTTTCCGAAACCGGAGAAAACTACGTCGCAACGGAATCAGGCGTACAAAAGGTACGAACAGTACGGAGACTACAACCGGACTTCAAATACGACCTCGCACTGTTGAACAAAGTTTCCGGCACACCATGGGCACCACGACGGAACACCTACAACCCATCGTTCGCAACACTGTTGGATACGCAACTACAACCGTCAGAGAAAAGAAGGTCCACGCAAGACTTCGGACAACAAACGAATGCGACGGACGACATCGTTGCAGAACCCGCAACAAAACAACAACGCACTACACCACCTCCACGACTTCCGTCCACATCGACGTCAAGTTCACGACCACTACCGGATAGTCCTATGGCTACTTCACCAACTGGACGACAACATCCACCACTACCAGCACCACCTCGACAAACACTACGACGTTTAACTCCGGAAGAAGTAATGCAACCAACTAAAGCACAGAAGACCTCAAAGGACACTACAATCAGATCAACGGAACAAGCAACCAAAGAACCACCACCACTACGACAGAAAATCAACGCAGTGACACTTCCCAACGGAAAATCCATCACTCCCTACACAAACGACGACACCTCAGAAGACCAACCCATAATCTTCGACAACGAAGGTTACGACGAAACACAACTACTGGAAGGAATGAAACACGAGTCAAACCAAATGAAACTACACGACGTCTACGACGAAGTAGATGCGTCTACCGTCGACGACAACGTCATCAGAGAAGCGATACCTACAAGATGGGTACACAGAAAGAAAGGACCAGGAGTACGAAGCCGAATCGTCGCAAAAGGCTACACCGAGAAGATCGAGGACGAAGACTCCGTCTACGCCTCTACACCAATGTTCACGACACTCCGGACACTTCTCGCACTACAAATGTCACGACCAAACTGGATCGCGCGACTAGGTGACGTCTCTACAGCATTTCTACACGCACCCATCGCAAAAGACCACGACGGTAAACAACGTGACGTCTACCTTTGGCCACCTAAAGAACTTTGTCCACAACAGGACAAAATCTGGCGACTAAAGAAAGCCATGTATGGACTACGCAGTTCACCGAAAGCATGGCAGGACTACCTGGCTGAAGTTCTACAAAAGCTCAGCTTTGTAAGACTAAAGTCAGAACCCAACGTCTACACCAATGCGACTCGCGACTGCTACATCATGGTCTACGTGGACGATCTACTAGTACTTGGAGACAAGACCGCAGTCGACTCCACTTTCGAGGCCGTCCAGAAGCAGGTACTACTCAAGCACATCGGCTACCTCGAACCTGGCAAACCACAACAATTTCTTGGAAGAAACATCGACCACTTCGGCAACTACTGCAATCTTGGACTAAAGGACTCCTACATCGACAACATGATCGAGGAGTCTGGAATGAACAACTGCAACTCAGTAAACACTCCAGGAATTGCACACTACAAACCAACAATAGAAGATGAAGCACTACTTGACCACGAACAACACAAAAGGTACAGAAGATTGTTGGCAAACTTCAATGGTTAGCATACACACGACCAGACATTGCATACTCCACAAAAGAACTAGCACGAGACCTCACAGCACCTACAGAACTTTCACAAAAGAGAGTCAAACATCTACTACGCTACTTGCACGGCACCAAGCACTACAAATTCACCATAGAACCAACAACAACACTCAGAGCAAACACCAACAACATCCTGGATCTCGACGTTCATGTCGATGCCGACTGGGCAGGATGCCCTACTACCAGGAAATCAACTTCAGGTTTCAACATCATCTTTCTAGGAACAACAGTTGCATTTGGCAGCAGAACACAAGCTACAATAGCACTTAGCTCAGCAGAGTCTGAACTCTACGCCATTTGCACAGGAGTTAATGAGGGACTACACCTCAGAAACTTCCTACTTGAAACCAACATTTGCAGCAAGCTAAACCTACGCATCCACACAGACTCCACAGCAGGCAAGAGCATTGCTACACGACAAGGCACTAGCAAACGAGCAAAACACATCAATTTCAAATTCCTCTACACACAAGACCTCATCAAGCACGACATCATCAGAATCCTTAAGATCAACACACTCCACAACAGCGCAGATTTGTTTACCAAATACATCAGCAAAGAAACACTACACAGGCTCATCCAGAGCATTGGAATACGCATCTAGCACTACGAACGACCAGCACAGCAGTTTCACAACAACAACAACGACTTTGGACATTTCATGTATGTAAGTAGCTACATGTAACACGACACTTTTGGTATGTAAGTAACAGTAACTACATGTACTTTCACTTGCACTTTTGGCGGCTTGAGTCAACACTACAGTTGTTTGTTTTACATGTCTGCATTCGCCGACTGCCTGGTAGCAACTACTTAGGCTCATTTGTTTTGCCCCGTTTCACTACATTTTGCATTCCACTGCAGCCATGGCCGCTCCATCTACTGCAGATGCTACGATGGGAGACGCCACTACGCCCGACAGGGCGACTACACCTGAGGTGGCGGTCACTACAGACTCCAGTGACCATGGAACTCCACCACCTCAAACCTAAACGACTTTAACTACCACTTCAACCATTCTACACCCGGTAACACCGTCTACTACAACCCGACCACAGTGATGGACCAACTACACATCACTGAGCACCAGACAACCACTGCACCACCACTGGCCAACAACATTCCCTACACGCAATTTTTCACTGCATTTACACTTGAAGAGTATCAACTACTCTCACAACAACAAGCTACTCCACTGGCACAACTGGACTACACACGACCCATTCACTGCATCCCTGGAGATCTTCGGATGCCACACTACAATTCCACACTGCTCAGCATTTCACTACCTGAAGCAGCCAACGTCCACTACTACCACACAACTTCACTCCACACTACAACTGGCGACAACACCAACTACGTCATCATCCAACTCCAGATTGAACAACCACTACTCCTGAGGTACCTCACTTCAGGACAATTTCTACACTTCACAAGGGACTACATCTCCTACATGATGTCGGTACAACACAACTACTACCTCCCGACTACAACACTGCCACAGACCATCTTCAAGGTGAACTACAACATGGCCACCTTCACTGACAACTACAGCCTCAGGAACAACTACGTTTGGAATTTCCACATGCCACTACTACTACCTGAACTACTCCACTACCTCTACAACAGAGACCAACTCCACGACTACCAACACAAAGCAATCACTACAATCCTCTGCAAAAGCATCCAATACTACGGATTCACACTACTCACAATGACCAACCTCACACAACACCACAAGGCACTACTACACCGCTTTCTACGGGACTACGAACAACACATGTCGTGTCCCGAGATTGATGATGAGCGACTACGGGGAGCTCCAAACTACATGACAAACTTTTTCACCACCAACTACTACGCGACCTTGGACAGTCGACTACAGAAGGTCCAAGACTACCGCACCCAGAACTGGGTACTACATTTTTGAGCTCCTGCTCTACTACAACGAGTGCCTGCCTTCACTACTTCCGTCCAGCGCGCTACATCGAGCTGGAACCTGAACAGCGTGAACTACTGAGCGCAGGTCACTACTTTTGCCAATACAGTAGAATGGATGAACAACAATGGTTTTCATCACTACTGTCAATCCATGTTTTGCACTTCAGTTGAAAAGGTACTACAAAGACCTTTTAACTGAGGGGCCGTGTCAAACTACATGCTTCACTTTGCACCCTTGTTGCATGTATGTTCACTACCGCAGGCCTTGAGCTTACTACTCCGCATGAGTCAAAAGGTTGGCAGCTGCAGACTACATCGGTTGACTGTTTGTTTGAACACTACAGCACTTGCACTTGTAAGCAAAGTAACCACCGATTTTAACGTCTCTCTCTCTCTCTCTCTGTCTCTCTCTCTCTCTCTCTCTGTGAAATGGATTTTGTCCATCCACACTGTCGACCCCATGGAACAGTCAGCCGCGCCTCCGACCGGAAGAGGCCCCGACTTTCCCGGGAACACGTCCTAGCCACGAGTCGAGCGGGAAATCGACGGAGCCGAAGCGGGCGTCCACGCCCCCTCGATGCTCTCTAACGAGAAAAAACCACGAGGTGACCTGCAAAAAGACGACAGGTGACTTACAAGGTGACCAAACAAAATGAAGTAAATGAAAACAAGGCAACACTTTGTAGCGGTCATGATTTATGTTTAAGTTTTGACTACGTAGATTGGATTTGTCAAGAAGGGGGCGGCCGCACAGGGCAGCGTTTTGATGCTCATCATCTAGAATATAATCCAGTCTCAAAACTGCGCCCCATGAGCAAACAACATGTGGCCCATATGACCGATGACATACATAGCTCCAAAGAAAGGAAAGTAAAATTGTACAGGCCCCTCGCACTGCTGCTCTTCCGACCCGCAACGTGACTGTTTGGGCCAGGGGCGAACTTTGCGCGCGAGAATACCTGGGGTGCGTAAAGTACTGCAAGTCACCAAAGCACAAGCGAACGCTCAAAACCTGAGCTGCTCGTCATTGTTATACTAGAATCTGTTACTACTCTCGAGGGCTTGACAAATATTCAAGGGGCCGGTGCTCAAAATACTATGGCAGCTGCACACGCGCTGGCAGTGCAACTTGAAAATGCCACGGGCGCAGTGCATGAGTGCAAGGTAATTACTAGCTAGCAACACGTATGCCAGGCTGCCAGCATGCCACTCACTCCCCGCTTGCATATTGTGACGCTGCTGGCACAGCTGTATGGCGTTCTGGGACGTGTTCAAAACGGGGCGTGTGAGGAAACTTGGGCATCCCGTGCAAAGCACGAATATGTAATGTAAATAAATGAAGGTACATTTGTATATGGCTCGGCGTCAAAGTTAGGTGGGGGTGCTTTCAATTGGAATTAGGATGTCCTGTGTTCTTCAAATATTTGAACACGGGAGCAAACAGGAAGCAAGCGTCTGGAGCAGCAAGAGCAGCTGAAGATAGAGCACCAAGAAGAAGAAGAAGAAGAAGAAAGAAGAAAGAAGAAAGAATAATAATAAATAAAGAATAAACAATCAAGAAGACAGAAGAAAGAAGAACGAAGAAAGAAGAAAGAAGAAGAGAACAAAAGAATGAGAAGAAGAGGCGGCAGCCGAGGTAGCAGGCGAGGCAAGGGCCGAAAAGACAAGGCCGCCCTATCCCATGCGCCTGCATAAGCCGGGTGACCAAGTCCTTCTCCGCATCCGCATGCTGGCGAGGTCGATCCACTTGTGGCTCATTTTATGAGTTAGAGCCCTTCAGGCTGCAAATCGGATTCTTTTCGGTTTCCTCTTGAGCCCATCCGAGAAAAGGTCCCTCAGCCTTAGTTGCTGTAATTGGCCAAACAAACACCCCATATTTTTGTTTGCCACTCAACTGGTCTTCCCAAAAGTATAAAGTCCAGGAACTCGGGAAGTAAGAAACACCCTTTCGTGAGTCATCTCTTGCTTGTGGGTAGGTGGAGTTTGCAGCCTGCTGAGTCTCAAAAGAGCAACCTACAAAACTGGCTGGTTGTCCTGCTGAATTACATTTGGCTTATCTTCAAAACAACCCCCCATCAAATCATTGATTAAAACAACACACCCACACACAATCACCCATGCGGGTTGAATGGCTGGCGCGCTAGCAAAGTGCTCGCTGTTTCGCGTGTGGATATAAAAGTATACTGCCGACATGTGGTCGGTTGGTCAAATCAAGCGTTTCCCCAAAAGGAATGGCTGTAAATGGTTTCTCCTGCAATATGTCTAGCAGGAGACCCGTGATCCTTGTGTGCGCAATCTTCCCCGCTAGAACCTCTCCAAAAAATACTTACCTGAACCTTCCATTTGCAAAACGCATGACAAGCTAAACCAGAATCAATTTTGGAAATGGATATGGAAGACAACCAGCAGCAATGCCTGGTGACAAGCATCAGTCACCACAAAAAAAAACACTCCCACTGTTGGGTGTCAGACAAGCCCTTCTGCTTTCAATAGACTTGACTGTTCAAAATGGAGTGTTCGTTCTAAGAAGTGATTTACATACCCCTTTTTTGCAGGAATACTTGGTGGTTATAAAGGTATTATGAAGTGGATATATCTAGACTATGCCATGGTCCAATCCCAACCCATAATCCGTATTAGAACAACTCTACCACAGGGACCGGTTCCTTTCCTACGTGAGCCCAGGGATCTGTGCCGGAGCGGCCGGGTTCTCGGTCTCGAGGAGGAGGAGCTGGCTGACACGTCTCGAGGAGACGAAGGGAATCCTGGCCGATGGATCGGACATTCGGCTCAGAGACTGGTTGCTCACCCTGAGCAAAACAGGGATCCGGATGCATTATACACCTGAACATTGCAACTTGTAAATGGAGGTATCCATTTATTTATTTTGGTGTTGAAAAAGCCATGTTTTGCAAATGGGCAAATGCATCGTTTAAGGAGCCCTGCAAAAGGTGTAAGCTGTTGTAACTTTCACGTGCTGAAGGTTTCTGGGGAAAAACACAAACAATCCAGTAGAGATAGATTTCCCTCTAAAACCAAGAAGGGAAAATAAAACATGTTCTGAAGACACTGGAAGGCAAGCTTACAGCAAAAGCAATCGTTTCTCTCCAAAGGTCAGGGCTAAGGTCGCAGCCTTTTTTCCTCGAGGGGGTGCTTTTTGACCTTTGGTTTGTTTGCCTGGGTCTGCCGTCAGAGTTGTCCTTTGGTTTGTTTGCCTCGAACCAACCTCACGCAGGGTACCCTCAACAAACAGGCGCCTCAACTCACGCATCCATACCAGGTTGCAAGGCTCTGATTGCTGGCATGGCAGGAACAGCGTGAATCCACACATGCTCAATCCATGTGGAACCTCTATGATGCGGAACCCAGCATTTTATTGACTCCCTTCGCTGCCTCCGGCCCTAAGGCAGCTTTCAAGGGTTGCCTGCATGAAAGCCACCATTATTGCTTCGCGCGGGTCAGTCTGCAGATTGAGTTACTTACTTGGTGTCTGCTGATCCATCTTCCAGAGTGCAATTATAGTACTGTGAAACTCACACAACTCAACCTCTACAAATGTCCTGTTAGATCATCACACCAGGAAAAGCCCAACTTGTCAAATCAGCTACACAACAAGTCTAAATGTTGATCTCGGATTAATCTGGACCGTACCAATCAGCGGTGGTTGCCCTTTTAGTAGGGACATTCTCGATTTTAGGGGGGTTCCCTGACTAGAGCTAGAGTGACTAGAGGGGTCCTTCGGAGTATCCGATGCTAACGTTCAACACCCCTGTAGCATCCCTTTGTATCCCTTTGGGCCTTAGCGCAGTCGAATCTCGTACATGAACCGTCTGCCGCCTCCGTCGCCAGCACTCCGACTGCAACTGCTTCAGCGACATCTGCTGCCTGCCGTTCTTGCGAAGGTCAAAGGTCCTTCAGTCTCGATTTTTGGACACGTTTTGGGGTGGGAACCAACGGAAGTGCTAGTTTGTGGATTCCCCTATTTTGAGACAAACTCATATTTCTCCTTTCAACAACACCACACCAAAAGAAGGCTCAAGGGGTGATGTTTAAACCTTCGTCGGCGCTGAATTGGCCCATGGGAAATGACGCACACTAAACCTCTGGCAACGGCGGCCACTCCAATTGCAAAGCACAAACACATGCTGACCCCAGATACAAGATTGAAACAAGACACAAGGTGTTGGTCGAATTCCTGCACCAATTAGATGGTTTGTCCCACTATTCGCAGGGGTTTCTTTTCTTGATGGACGAAGCACCAAGGATCCCCATTGAGAATCCACCAAGCCAGGGAGTTCCTGGGTGTCCTGCTTGCTTGGTACCCGGTGTGTTTGTGATTGTACAGGGAAACCAACAGGAAAACCGCATTTTTTGCAAGGGGGGCTCCCTTCAAAACGGACACCCGCCTCCTGGGTTCCCATCACCCTTACCGTGCAAGACCAGCTTGCAATAATTCGAACATCCTGGAAGAGCGGGACCGGCGTGTCTGTGAGCAGCTTGCTGGGGAGAAATTTACGCAACAATGCTCTTCAGCTTCTCCGTGTATCCCGAAAGCGATGCGTATGTCCTTTGGTTGGCAAGCAGCATGCACTTGCATTGCGCAGGAAGGCTTCTGAAAGTATAGCACTTCATTTTTTGGAGGGCACCTTTGTTTGTGCTTTAAACAGGGCCCCAGTTTGGGGGCTCACCCATTTGGAAACTGAAGCAGCACCCTTCAAGTGGGATGTCTGGTCCTCATCCTGACATATAAGAACCTGCAAGTTGAAGCGTGAATAAACCTCGTTTTTAAGCAAGACTTCACACCAACAGCAAATCATGCCAAAGACCTGACACGCTTCATAACCCTGAAGAACACATTAATATTGACAACCACTGCACGCCACCCACTCTGGGTATATACGTGTGCGCGTGTTCTTGTTGAGGGTTGAGTCCCGTTAAAAGCACACCAAGTGGAATCCCCCAACCCCCCCCCCCCGGGGTCCCATCGGAAAGTCGTGCCATACCACCACATCATAGAGGCGGGACAGCACGTCAGGTCGTTCCTTTCGGGGTGCGAGGGTCGGTTTTGCGCGGTCTCAGACAGGGGAAGATGGTACCAAGGAAAACCAAAGGACCCAAAATTCCCCCTAGCTTGAGCGGGAGGGAGGTTGGGATGTCCTGGACCCAATTCCATGTATCCAGTCTTCCCCAGAAAAGAGAAAGGGAACCATAAATGTGAGTCCATCCCCAATTTCAGGGGGTGATTATATACCCAAAACTTCCTTCCTTGCCATCCACTTGCCCTAAGAGTGAGAAAAGTCAGGGAGGTGTCTTTTCCCTACAACACGCCTTGTTGTTTGCTTTTGAGGGTTGGAGCAACTCGGTCCTTCTGCCAAATCCTTTTTCAGACCAATTTGGCGATCCTCGAGGATTCAACTACTACTTCTTCGAGGACCGCACGTTTTTTCAGCTGAAAAGGACCCGGGACCAAACAATGCGTCGTCGGAGTCTGTCAGTAGGGGAACCTGAGCTTGATAAACTCGTTTCTTTCCCGACATCTGCATTTTATGATGTGTGGACAGAATCAATGAAGGTTGCACAAACCCAGACGCCCTGGATTTGTGAATGTACTTGGAACCCAATCCTCAGCGTGCACTGCCCCGCATTCTCCCACTACCTACGTTTCTTCGTGCCATTCTAAGGGCATCTCGTGTGCCAAGTTGACAGGATGCGACTCAATTCACGAGGCGTGAGGTTCGGGCCACCTGATGGATGGACACCCTGCACCACGGTGGTTTTTGTGTGCCCCCACTTGTGACGCGTTTTTTTTTTTGAGATCTTGGAAACGTCTAACCGTAGAACTCTCTGGCTCAGATTCACTGGCTCCCTTGCTCTGAATAGGACATAACATCCAATGTCTATTCCCAAATTGGAAACACGGAACGGAATCCCGAGTCAAGAATTTGCACCAAGCTCGTATTCCCCCTGGTTGGCTAACGGCCCCCATGAAACACACCAATCTTAGCAGGCCAAGTCCAGTTGCTGCCGGTAAGCGCGGATTTTGTTTACTCGCCGATTTCCTGAGTGGATTGGTCAGGAAAATCACGACCTGTTCTTTGACACTAGAATTGTCGTCCCGCCAAAAGAACAGTCCTAAAACCAGTCCTGATAGACCTGGCAAATGGAGCCATCGGTACTTGAAACACAAAACCACGAAGTGTCGCTGATGGTCATGTCATGCCGAAACTACGGCAAGGGCCCCGTAAAAAATACTTGCGCGAGTCTTTTGTAGGGGACCCCAAAATGTTTTTTCTTTTTCAGACGGGCCTCTCATGGGGGGTGGGTTTTTTGACACACAGGGATTTAGTAGTTTTTTTGCGTATGCTTCCTCTGCACTTTTCCAAAAAACAAAAAAAACTCGAGAACACCAAAAAACAAAAAGCATGCCAGACCCTAACTCAGCCAGCATGGATACATAGGGTCTGCAATTTTGGTATTTGTGTTTTTTTGTTTTCTCGAGGTTTTGTGCACTTTTCCAAAAACCAAGCAACCTCGAGAAAACCTAACTCAGCTACGTAGGGTCTGATATTTTTTGGTATGTTGGGTTTTTTGGTTTTCTCAAGGTTTTTTGCACTTTTCCAGAAAACCAAAAACACCTTGAGAAAAAAAAAGACAAAACCATGTCAGACCCTAACTCAGCCAGCATGGATACATAGAGTTTGAAATAGGGTCTGAAATGATGTGTTTGTGTTTTTTGGGTTTCTCGAGGTTTGCTCTTTTGAGGTTGGGGTCAGCAAAGAAGAAACACATATCCGCAAGAAGGACACAGTTGCCATCGCGGCCTGGGCATTTCACTTGCTAAACACAACTGAGTTCTATTCAAATGAACTGAAAGACAAAGCCAGCTTGTCTTTCCTTACCATATTATCTAAATTATGTCTAAAATTTAATTAAACTCCTAGATACTTGGAAAGGAAATCCCGGCTAAATTCTGATTCAAAACAGCAGCTATAATTGAATCAGATAGAACAACTACCAGCTTGTCTTTCCTTACTAGGTTCCAACTATACACATGTCAAATACAGATCATATTTGGAAAGAAATTCCCATTTGGAGTTGGATGGAATTCCTGTTTACAATTTACTTAAAATTAATAATTAAAACAAATATATAACTAAGTTCTACTTGACAGCATAATTGGATAAGACCCCACTACAAATCTAAAACTAGCAGTTAAATTCAAGGTGCCCATTAACTTCTAATTGGAACCCTGCTTGGAAGGGAAGTGCTGACTAATATCTAGTTCAAGAATAAAGAAGTGAAGTCTGATCGAATCCAATTTTGAATGTAAGTAAAGCCTCGCAATGTAAACCTGGCAAACAAATTGTCATGAAAACAGTTTTTTTCCATGGGATTTCGCCTCTTGTGGGGTTGAAACTGGTGCATTTTGTGGGTTTCAAAAACCCATCCCCCATGCGGGGACGCTCTCCAGTTTTTTTTGTGTTTGCCGTTGAAGCCAGGCAACTAGGGGGTAGCCTTAAACATAGACACCCGCTTGCTTCTTCAAAAGGACATGGGACAATCGGGAGACCCCTGGTTCTTGGCAGCGCCCGAACAAATCCCTCAAGACAAGTTCATGCAGTCAGTAGGTCCTCTAAGGATGGGGCAACGCTTGGTATGTTGCTTCAATTTTTGAAGGAACCTGTGCAGGAATACCAGCCTGGAACATATCAACACGTGAATTCTGAGATTGACCACAGTGCGAGCAAAACACGATATGGACGACCGCGTCGTTGAGTTCATGCTCTACAAATGATATACTGCAAACCAGAGGTTTGCACCAGGTACACAGGCTATCAACTTCCTATCCCAGACTGTGGGAAAAAAACGAAATCCACTTCGCACCACCAAAGAAAGCCTATGACGATTGCCATGTACATACCAACAAACCTTATGGTTTCCCAAGGTTTCTTAGGTGGTGCAGGACTTGGTCCATCCAAGTGCAAAGTAATAGGGGCGAATTCCTGCAACCAGCAACATCCGAGGCTGCGAACACCTGTCCCTTTCCCTCTTGTGACATATCAAGGCCAAGCTTGGTAATTCAACATGTGTTGCAATCCTTCGCTGGATTCCGAGTTCAGCTTGGAAACAGGAGATTTCTCGTCCACCAAACATGCTTTGGGCCGTTCCCCTCACAACATCATAGCATACCTGTCAACATAGGGACACTTCCACATGGTTTTCCTGCTGGTTTCACTTTAAACCAACCTAAGGGTTACTTCGAAACATACCACTAGCTCAAATTGTTGTGCTGGGCCCCCCTACCACGATGGGATCCACCGGGATGCGCCGCTTCAGGCACTCCTCAAGTCGAGGCAACTTGTTGTTGCTTAGAATGAGGTTTCATCGACGATTCTTTAAACCACCTTTTTTAGCTGCCTTGAAAGGGGACCAGAGGTTGGCTGTAGCGCATTCTGCAGGGTCTTGTGGTCCATGGTTTCCTGAATTTCATCGACCCTTCTTGAAACAACTTCCTGTTTAGGTCTCTTAGGGGACCAGGGGCTCGTCGTTAAAGCGAAACTTGCACTGCCAGCGCTTTCGGTCTAAGATGGTTTCCTGAACTTCAGGGGACTGTGATATGACACAAAGCCGCTACACAAAAGGGTTTCCTAGCCCGCTTCCCCCAGAGTAGTTGGGTTTGAGGGAACGGGAGCTCTATGCGGCGAGGGTCCACGGGTTGAAGGGTTTGGTTTGGATTAGTTTTCAGCGAGCCCTGGTACGGCTTATCTAAGGACTTGCCCTCGGCCTACTGTGGATGGTTGCGCAATCCGTGCACACACACCATCTAAGAAAACCCTGGGGGTAGATACCAGCATGGCTTCAACCATGGCTTCAGAGTGGTGTGCAATGGAATATGCCCGTCTCCCATTAGGCCTCCCGGGTCTGTGAGGGTAGGAGCTTGCAGAAATGTGGACTCTGCGAGCCCTAGAACATAGCCAACAAAGAGGACACCCCTGAAAAAGTACTGAAACGAGGAAACGACAACTTGGAACTAATCATTCCAGAAGATCCATCACGGCGGGCCCATGGCGCGCCCATTTGAACGCCTGACCCATTCTTGATGAGCTTTCCTTGCACTTGGCAAGTACAAACACCCGTAATGCATTGACAGAACGAGCCTGAATGCCACCCCTATGTTGCTTTGCCAAAATTGGGGGACCGAACACTTGTGGTCTTCCTTTTGGTTCCCCTTAAGCCAAGATGAACAGGGTACCCTCCAAACAACACACCCGTGTGAGTAGAGCAACAGTTGATTGGGAAGATGGCCCCTTCTTTCGGCTTCACGGCAATGGCTGGTGTACTTGCACTCGACGGAACACTTTGGGAACCTGCCCGTTTGGACATGGGGGCGGATCATCTAGATGCAGTTAAACCTGCCAAGCCTGTCGGAGCCACAAGCAAAGGAAACCAACAAAAAACATGGTTTGAGGACCCTCAGAATTGAGCAGGAAGAACGTGGCAAAGCCGGTGACTAAACACTCCAATAATTCTGTTGGATACAACCGCATAATTAACAGGGCCTGAATCCGGAATATGCTTGGCCTGCATTCAAACCTTTGGGTGATCGGTGTCTTGTCCTCTCTGTTCCCCTCCCCGCCACCCTTGTTGAGGCTGGTGACGGGCTCTCAATGCACCTTCTACAAACCCTTTGGCAGCTCCAAAGCAACGCAGTACTGCACACACACACACACACTCAAAGTTGAGGCACCCCCAATTCCCTAGCCAGCACCCCCCCCCCCCCAACCCAGGGCTGGATCCCGCTCCCGGACTCCCGACGCCCATCGCCTCTTTCAAGGCGCAGATGCCGTACTTGTCCCAGTCCTCCACCTGTCGGCAGAAACAAATGGGAAACAAAAAACACCGGCGATTCGTTTTGTTGGACTTCGTTTTAAGCGGTGGAAAGGGGACCCTTTTAAAACCATGGTTCCCGTTTTTGGTGTCCGCCCCCGTTTGGGCACATACCCAGTTGCCATTGACCATGGTAGACACCTGTCACCGTGGTAAAGGGATCTCCCTTTTGGGGACCATGTTGAGCGGATTGTTTCAACGTTGTGCTGTTGTTGTTTGTTTGTTATGTTTTTCCTTTGTTTTTCTCTTTTTGTTTTTTTCGGCGGGGGGGGGGAAGAATAATTGGAGCCCTTCGCCTGCTTGCTCCCATCAAAGGGGGACCGGAAAGGAAGCTCTGTTGTTTCTTGGGTGACCGATCCATGAGCTACATATCAAGGGTGAATTGAGTGGATGACACAAACCCATGGAATTTCCACGGGGAAAGAAGGCCACCTTTTTTTGGTCGTTGATGTAAAGGGAATGCCCCCACCGCAAGTGGATTCACTTGCTGGGCTGATGCCCCGGGCAGCCCCGAGTGTACGGGCGGGTTTAGGAGAAATACAAAGAACCATATCGCCAACTGGAAAACGTTAGAACGTCCATCATGGCTCTCCAGTCCAGTTGGTCGGTTGCTTTGCCGGCACTGAAGTTGCTAGCCCGGATGAAATGCAGTCGATGGTTGTCAAGAATAAGCCGTTTTGTGACACCAAAGTGGGATTCCCATCCCTGCGACAATTGCGTGACATTAAAAAAGAGCCGCTCACAGAAAGAGGTCCGAAGAAAGAAGACGTGGGCGGATCGGGAAACAAACAAGAAACATACGCAAGCCATCCAGCCTATGGTTGCAGCAAGTGTGAATTGCTTGCAATGTGGTTTGGATTGCCATAGGGAGCACCTTTGTTCTCTTGTTGTTTGGTCGGGAGGTATCCCTGAAGCTATGCAGCCCATACTGCTGATAGGTGGTTTGTCCCCACAGAAAAAGGGGATTTGATGCACTCCGACCGCCCGGCCTCTCGCAGCATTGCCTCCTCAGACGATGGGCGTCTCCGAAAGGGAGACGCCCAATGCACAAATGCGTCCGCTTGAAACATCATCCCAAGGAACGTGAAACCCAATCGCCTTGCTCGCATGCCCTGATCGTTTGCACACCCCTGGGCTGCAGTCTGTGCTGTCCTCTGGTTTGCTTGTCAATAAGCGCCAACGCTTTTATGTTCATATGGCACGGGATCCAAGTATTTATTTCCTCTTCACGCACCCCACCAAACGAACACTCACTGAATGTTGGCCCGAGAAGCGATGCTTAACATCTCGAAAGTGTCCTTGGGTGTCTCGTTGTTTGAGGGTGTCCTGTTTGTTTTTGTTGTTGTTGGTTGTGTTTTTGTTTAAATCCGAGGTTTTATTTCAAAAAAAACATAAGGAGAACCGTTCCGCCAAGGGGTTCCAACCTAAAAGACGCACGCCATGGACTTTGAATGCGGAGCCCTGCCGTTGGGACATCGCTACCGCAGATTTCGACTTTTTCTTTGGGGGTTTCCCTGCCAGGGTCTGGTTCAAAAGAGTGCCCAAATTTGCAGGGGGCAAATGACCCGCCAAAACAGGAGAGTGTATCTGGAAAGACGGAACATGCAAGTAAAAACCCCACATGTAAAACAAAGCAACCTTAGACAGGAGCCGAGTGGCAGATGCGATGCCAAAGTCGCCGAAGTTATTTGGATGAGAGCCGACCATTCCCTTCGATCCCTTGGGGTGTTGATTCTGCAGAAGTGTGGCTCGTTTTGCCTTGAGGGCACCCGTTGCGGGGTGGGCTTAAAGGGAACCAAAAGAAAACCCACCATTTTGAGGGTTCCCATACCCCAGGACAAATGGATTTCCATCGGGGAAAAATAATCGGGTGCCTTTTCGCCGGTTAATTTTGCAACACCTTCTCACAAAAACGTCAACAGGAAGCCACCCATGTGTTTGGGAGTGGATCAACAGCAAACCAGTGAACTTCCAAGAGATTCTCGGGTGATGCTGCGGGCTCTGGACGAGTAATTGAGTCAGAGGAGTGGGAGTCAATTGGCAGTCGTTTTGGGCCCTTGGGGTCTCCTCGCAAGTTGTTCTACAACTTGTAAGGTTGAAAGATGAACGCAGTTGTTGCAAGCCGACCTTTTAACCTGTCTCCATTTTTGGTCTCCTTTTGGTCATGGTCCCAACACTTCTTTCCATGTTCCTAAGAGGCAACTGAGTGAAACTGTTTTTTGGAGTCTCCAAAGTGTCCGAAAGCCATAAAGATGTCAGGCTCCACTAAACATGAAACGCCACCTGATATGATCTGGGGCCCACTGCGAATCTTGTTG